AGCAGGATTCCCTGAGATCAGTCTAATGTTTCGCTGTTGGTCTCTGCATCAGTTCCTACCAGTTGCTGGATAAAGGGTCTCTGATGACTATTGTGCTAGACACCAATCTATGAGCATAGCAGAATGTCATTAACATCATTACATTGACATTTTCCCCTCCAGTTGTATATGGTTCTATCCCAGGTGTCTGAGCCATCCAGCCTTTGGGTCCTGGCTTTCCAGGCAGTGTCAGGGGTGGGTTCACTCTTGTGGCATGAGTCTCAGGTTGGATCAATCACTGGTTGGCAACTCTGACAACCTCTGTGGAATATCCTATAGGCAGGGTAGAGTACGAATCGAAGGTTATGTGGTTGGGTTGGTGCCCCAATCCCTCCACTGGAAGTCTTGCCTAGTCACACAGTTTAGGCTACTTATATTCAATGGCTAGTAGTCCTAGCTGGGTTCATCTTTGTAGATTCCTGGGAGTTTCCCTTGCACTAGCTTTCTATCTGACCTTAAATACCCCCCTGATGGGGAATGTACTGTGTATGTTTATCTTATTGATTGTTAAATAAAATACTGTTTGGCCAATGAGACAGAAAGTTAGACAGGACTAGGAGTCAAAGAGAATCCTGGGAAATGTAGTAGAGAAGTGGTGATCCAGGCAGGAAGTGACATAGCAAGGAGACTCATATTTAAGCAAAGGAGAAACAGGAAGGGTCCTTTTTTCCCCTTCCTGCTCCAGCGGCACAATGTGATCCACCAGCAAGGAGGGACGCCAATAAGGCATCCGATAAGATAAGTCTTATAAAATATATAGATTTATGATAATTAAGACTGAGCTAACAGATGAGAAACCTAGTCATTGGCCAAGCAGCTTTGAACCTAATACAAGTTTCCGTGCATTCATTTAGGCCTTAACTAAGGAGGGGGGGGGGGGGCGGGCGTAAAGCTCACAGGGGGGGGCTCGGCAGCTTTTGGCAGAAAGATTTATCATAACAACCCCCTTTTCCAGTTGGCACTTTCAGTGATCTCCCCTGCGCCCTCAGGTGATCCCTCATGTTCCCCTCCCCACCAACACCCAAATGTACCCAGGAACTATCTTCTATTTCCCCTTCCCAGGGAGGACTGAGTGTCCCCTTGGTTGCTTCTTGTTACCCAGCCTCTCTGGGTCTGTGGATTGTGGCATGGTTATCTTTAACTTTACAGCTACTATCCACTTATAAGTGTATGCATACTGTGTTTGTCTTTCTTGGTCTGTGTTATGTCACTCAGAATGATCTTTGCTATATCCATCCATTTGCCTTTGAATTTCATGATGTCATTGTTTTTAATAGCTGAGTGAAATTTGATTGCTCTGCTGAAGCCTCCAATGAAGAATTGGGAACTATAAAGCAACCTATGCCTGCCTGCCTTATGAATACATGAAGAGCCCTCATTGGATGACACAATACTGTTAAGGTCCTATCTACGTTCTTGACCAAGGATCACAACAAATAATAAAATGACTATGATTGTGAGCCTCTCAATTTTGAAATTTTTATGTGAGAGTAACCAAAACTGTTTTCCTCAAAACTAATAGCACAATGTTTTCTGGGGTTCCATTGGCTATCAATTTTGTTTGCATTGCAAATAAGTTTGGAGAATTGTTTCTAGAAAGACATCATATACAGTTAATGCTACCCTTTTTCTAGTATAGTGTTCCATGTGATAATTTTTTTCTTCCCCCCAATACTTGTTTTGTTATCTGTCTCCAATAACTCTCATTACTAAGTCTTCACAGAAGTATCTCTGTAAAAATCACCTGTCATCTCTCCATTGTAAATACCATGGCAAGATTTACAAACACAACTTTTCTGACCTGTATGTAGCCCTGGACCCTTTTCTTCATTCTCCGATTCTTGAAATGTTTTCTAGTAAAACATCTTTCAGTTGTGCCTTTGTCCTACTTCTCTAAAATTCCTTTGTGATCACCTTCCGGAGCGGTGGTTCTCAGCCTTCCTAATGCTATGACCCTTTAATACAGCTCCTCACATGTTGGTGACGGACAGCCATGAAAATTCTTTCATTGTCACTTTATAGCTGCATTTTTTCCATTTTAAATTTAAATTAGAAACAATCTTGTTTTACATGTCAATCCCAGTTCCTTCTCCTTCCCCTGTCCCCCACCAACCCCTTATCCCGTCCCCTTTCTGCTCCCCAGGGATGGTAAGACCTTCCATGGGGGATCTTCAAAGTCTGTCATATCATTTAGAGCAGGGCCTACACACTACCCTGTGTGTATAGGCTGAGGGAGTATCCCTCTGTGTGGAGAGGGCTCCCAAAGTCCATTCATATACTAGGGATAAATACTGATCCACTACCAGAGGCCCCATAGATTTCCCAGGCCTCCTAACTGACACCCATAATCAGGGGTTCTGGGCTTGTCCTATGCTAGTTTCCCAGCTATCAGTCTGGGGTCCATGAGCCCCCCTTTGTTCAGGTCAGCTGTTTCTGTGGGATTCTGTAGCCTGGTCTTGACCCCTTTGCTCATCACTCCTCTTTCTCTGCAGCTGGATTCTAGGAGTTGGGCTCAGAGTTTGATAGCTATAATTTTGGTAGTGCTATGAATCTTGATGTAAATATCTGCTATTCAGGATAGCTGATGTGAGACTCCTCCTAAAATGTCGTTGGACTTCAAAGTGGTCTCAGCCCACAGGTTGAGAACCATTGTTCTAGAAAGTATTGGTATTCTTATCAATCCATTCTCTGCTCACTTTTCATTCTGCATCATCCTTCGAGAGCTCATGCCTTTAATTAGATGCTGCTGAATACCCATCTCCAGTCTAGTGCCCTCTGCTCAGGTTAAGAATTACTTACTCAGGTGTTTATAGGACAAGTTCATCAGCCTCATCTTCGGGGTCCTGAAACTGACAGACAAATATAATTCAGTCTGTCTTCTGCATACCTCAGATAAGACCCTGTAGCTACCCCCACTTCATGCTGAAAGCTAAGGGGCAGGCCATTCTGTCACAGCCAGTCAGAAGGCAAAGTTAATTCTCAATGCCCCTCCATTCTACCTGCACTGTGCTGGGTAGAGTCTGGAGCTTTTGTTTCCAATTTTCACCTGGGCTTTCACGATCATAACTGGCTCTACTTTTTCTTGACAAACCCAATAAAATAGGGCAGTCAGAAGCAGACCTAAGGGGTCTGTAGTTGATCCTCTCTGTCTGTAACCATTTGGAACCCCAAAGCAGCTCCAAAAGAGTGGGCAGATGGAAGATGAATAGAGCAAGAAAGCTAGCAAAGGCAGAAGAAGCATGAGCGGCAGCCCTTCTTAAGCTTCTCTTTGGTCCAAACAGTTTGCATCCACTAAAATGTGGGAACCCAGAGTTAACTGAGGAGCAGGTGACACCAATGCATCCTTGTCAGAATCAAGCACCCATAAGGAGCTCTTAGCAGCCATCTTTTCTACAGTGCGTTATCTTAAGAGGAAAGTGGTTCTATTTGTGGGAGCATTACCCGGATATTACCCGGCACTAAGTCATTCAGAGCAATGGGTGCCTGCAGAGGGGAGGGGTGCATTACAGTAGTGTGGATCTATATTTTACGTTTACTATTCACAATTAAACTTTTCTTTGAATATCAGACTTCATCTTTCAACAATGTATAATTCAAACAACAAACAGTTTATAGTATTGTGTCAATGGCTTTTCAAACTCACAAAAGCAAGTTCGTGGTGGGCATCTCAGTGTCTCCCTGGTCGGGTTATTTCATAGTACTACTGTACCATAGCAAATCAGTTGTGGAATTGTGTCATCACAATGTCTCCATGGCAGAACATCTTTCCTTTCCACAAAACCTTAAATCCTGTTACAGCCTAACTCAAATTAGTTCAATCATTTTCTAATCAGTTTTTCTCCTTCTAGACCTAGACTTATGATAATCAATTTGTCATTAGAAAGATTTCTAAAATGAAAATCAATTAAGCCACCATGTTTTCAGACTTTACTGGCACCCTGTCCAGCACCCAACCCAAATCCTTAGTTGTCTCTATAACAAATTCTAACCTTCTTTGAGTGATTGCTATGGTCTTACCCAGGTAAGATCTGGCTTCACTTCCCAGTTTCATGCTCTGCCAGTTTCTCTATTTCCCTGTCAACACCCACCCCTCTAACCAAAGCTCCATCTCTAGAGCCCACTGGTTAACTCCTCCATTTCCTTCCAAACTTCTCTGAGGCAGTACCTTTGTCTATTTTTCTTCACATTGGAATCATGAGCAGGCTCTATTCATACTGCTATTAAAACATAGAGCATTATTGAAATGTATTCTGCTGCTGTGCTCCCTTGGCCTCTCTTCTGCCTGCATGGAGACTCTCGGGACTGTGGACTGTCTTCCTTTTGCAATGCTTAGCATAATTCCTATCCTCAGGACACATGTAACCAATAATGCCTCATTATTCAACGAGCAAGTGAATCCTCTATTCTCACAACAAACCATGATTTGCATTGTGTTCTTATATCTGTGTTTCAGAAAACATAGAAATCAATAAATATCATTTCAGTTAAAATACTAGGAATGATGATGCTAATGAGGTCTCATCATTTCTGGACACAGGAAGTCAGAAGTATACCTGACTAGAAAAAATATTTTCCAGGTACTAGGGTAACAGATGGAAAGAAGTTAGTGCAGAGAGAAGTTACCTATACAAATATAAGCCAGTGTCTACTGGGCTTAATTTACACAAGGCTTCACAATTATAGTTAGCAAGAGCCATGTGCAAAATTAAAGTTTTTCATTGCCACAGAAAACAATCAAAATGCTTTCCAGATGTTTGCTAAGAATAACGTAGCTATATGCACTCAATCTGTCTTTAAAAAACAGCAAAAGCAGTCATAAATAGCTTCATGCATCATTTCTTGATATTCATATTGCCTTGGTAAGTATACAGGGAGAAGACTGTGCAGAATTGGTCTGTCTGTATTGTAGACAGTAGCATATACAATATGTTTTGTAGAAAGTGAATTTTGACTTAAAGTAGAAAAATATAATAAAAGTCAAAGAAATGGTGTGAACAATCGCACTTTCTAAAATTCTGTCTCTACTCTGAGTACTTTATGGAATTGGCCATAGAAAAAAATTGAGAGGTGAATGTTGAATACATATTCTAGAATTCAAAGTAATGCCTTGGAACACTGGATATTGAAAATTAAGTCAAGAAGCACTGGCTGTTTCTGGTGCCTGAGAAAACATTAGGGTCTTGAAAACTATTCTTTTCAAAACATTGTTTTATTCTTTTCCTACAAGTTTAATGATGTAAACTTTGAGGGAACATATTCATTCCTTTTGCCATTTTTCTTGCATATATTATATTTTACATTTTTCTTCTTTATACTTGAAGTGGTTCTATCAGTTTTAGTTTAGGAACCTCAAATTCTGATTTGCAAAAATGTGTGTCTTTTTAATTTAGGATGTTTTTCCTGTCCTTTAAAATTAATACAAACAGCTTCATCATATTATCCAGCATTTGCTAAATTATATATCTATGGGAAAACATGAGAAGATGATTCATAGATATATAATTTTATATTTTCTAATATTCATTACACAGCATTTAGCAAGATAAAGTCAAAATAATGAATTATATTAATGTAGCCATATACTCCAACCAATTAATTAAGTATTAAATATGCTTATTTAAAATGTTTTATTGATCTTGCCAGGTCTCAGTTTTAATCTACTATATTTTTCCTACAACTTCATTAAAGAAACATGCAAGCAAAGTCCCTTGCTTGGGGACCTGGTATTGAGAGACAATTGACACATGAAATAAAAAAATAACAGATATTAACCTGTATCTATATTGACGCTACTGATTCTTTCACAAATGTTTGGCCCTGACTGCTGCCATGACTGTGACTGCTAAAGTACACCAGAGAGCATGCTGTAAAAAAGAGTAACGATGGGGCTGGAGAGATGGCTCAGAGGTTAAGAGCACTGACTGCTCTTCCAGAGGTCTTGAGTTCAATTCCCAGCAACCACGTGGTGGCTCACAACCATCCATTATGAGATCTGGTGCCCTCTTCTGGTGTGGAGATATACGTGGAAGCACAATGTTGTATACATATTAAAAAATATTAAAAAAAAAAAGTAGGATATCCAGGTTTTTTAGAAGTAACTAAAGGAAGTGGTATAATTACAGGAACTGAGAATAAAAAATTAAAAGTTATTCTGTGTAAACTGTCTCCATTTTTTACATGAAAGTCATGTTAAGTGGACGTGTTGAAAGCCCAGTAAATACAGATGTATTTGTGCTAGTTCATTTGTGCCAGTGACCGTCAAATTTTAGATACCAAATAAGATTTCTTTAAAAGACAAAAATGTGGCTGTGGCTATTGTACAATAATGTTTTAATCACATGCTTTCCTGTGTGATTTCAGTGCATACATCACACTTCATCTCCCGAACCTCATGAATAGAGAGCTTTCAAAATATTCTTTCTTTTTCCATGTCTGAGAGATGTAGTATTAGAGTAAAAGACATGCCTTTTAGTACCTAAATAACTAGAGCTTATGTGCCTCATGGGATGAAGTCAACGAGTACTGAATTCTGCTACAATGAGGAAATAGGTAGGGGTATATTTTAATCTTGTGTGTGAAGTTTGTAGAAAAAGGGTGTGCATGAGAATACAGAATGGAAATTTATGGACTTAATCCCATGTGTGGAACAAAATCTCCAACTTTCTTTGATTCATCTTTGTCTAAATTAACCTTCCTTGAAAGCTCCCATTTCCACAAAGGGCAGAGGTAATTGGGATAGCAAGTTAAGGTCAGCCTGGTCTGTGTAAGTTTCCAGGAGAATCACTTCAGTGAATGTGGACCATCATTGGGAATGCCCAACTTCTACCAAAGCTTCTCACTCTCTTCCTCTATCATTCAAGTTGCCAATAATCTAGATTACCCCCTACAACCCCGTGGGAGTACGATGTGTTGTCCAGGTGGACCATGTGTGACATAGGTCAAAAATTGCATACCGCCATTGTCCCCTCTAACTATACTGACTCATTAGTTTATATTTTTCAAGATCTGTCTCTTTTTCAACTTCTGGATGGTCTTGTGTATTTTCCTCTACTCAGTTCTGTAACTACTAAGAATTGGGAAATGCTTTTGTCAGGGCAGCATAGAAACAACATTCAAGATGATTATTAGTGGATTTGTGTCATTAAGCTGGAGATGGTCTGATTCAGATGATGGTGAGCTCACCTATGCAAAATTTATGATTTAAAGCTACCATTTCCACAAATACTGGATCAAATCCTGGAACTTGAGAGGTTGAATTAAACCCAGCTGTTTACCACAAGTAGTAAGAAGTCAATGTCCTAGAAAATTGCATGCATCATATACATAAATGCTATCAACTATACTGAAAAGATCAAATTTATAACTCTGGTCAAGCTCTCCCCTGAATTCCAGATTCCAAATGTGGTCTTAGACATTCCATCTAGACAATAATCTTCTCAGGCATAGTATATTAATTTTATGTTCTTATACTCATATAAAGTCTGTCTGAGCTTTTAATACCACACTGGTACATATATAGTGTCTTCTGTTCTCCTAAACATTGGACAATGTATCATTCTGATATGGAAACTATTAGATTAGGCCCATCCATGCATTTGGAGATGTCTCAGTGGTTAAAATCAGTTTAGCTGTTGCAGATGATTGTAATTTTGTTCCAACACTGAAGTCTGGCTATGCAGAACCACTTGTCACTTCAGGTTCAAGGGATCTAATGCTCTATTCTGGTCTCCTCAGAGACCTGCACTCATGTTTCCATGTACACATCTACACACAATTTAAAAAATAATAAAATAATCTAAAACAATTAAAAATAAAAAGAGACTATAACTCTACAGAACTTGACCTCTCA